AGCAGGCCCTCCCAAGAGCCTTATTCTCTTCTCGCATTGCTTCTTTGCCACCGTCAGCTGATTAATATACCTCTTCACATTGCGAGCCCTCAGTAGGTCAGCTTTCATTGCTGCAGTTTCTTTTCCTTTTGAATCTAAATATAGAGCAAATCAGAGAGATTCTTTTACAACACGAAAACACCAATGCACGATTCCCTCTGTGACCTCCCTGATCAAGGCATTTGTCCTTCAAGAATCAGCTATGCATATGAGCACAGATATTGGAAATTCGTATTTGAAACAATTACAATTTTGAAATGTTCTTGAATGATATCTCAAGGGTTTATATAAAACAGTTCAGAAAAAAAGAAATCCTCATTCAAGTGTCCAATGAAATCTGACCCCTCCAGCTCTCTTCCCGTAACCTGTCGCAAGACACAGGCCCAAGGCTTGTACTACACAATGTACATTTATCAGATGGTATTAGAAAGTTACCTACAGCCATGGCACGTGATAACACATGGAGCTGATGGCTTATGTACCCTACTGAAGATAATACTGACTGCCTGGAGTCATGAGGGACTGGACTCAGTCGCTTCCAGTCCAGCATTACACGTTGCCATGCATCTCATTTGCAAATCCAAATTTCTTGAGCCTGATGTGAACATCATACAGTATCTCCTCCAGACAACAACACCGACCAAAGCTCACTCTGAATGGTCAGATGACTAAGAAAAAATATCTTACAATGCCACATCAAGACTGCACAGTATTGTTAAATTGTGAAGTTACATGAAGATGACAGTCAGTTGAATAAGACTTGGTAATAAAAGGTATAATGTTTGGATACTCTATATTCCAGCCTCTTCAGCTAATTACCAGCGCCTAAAAAAAAGCAGCAGCAGATAAAGCTCTGAAATCATTCCTGGTTTATATCTGCAGGATGCAACTGATTCATATTTATACATTGGTTTTATTTTCCTCTTCGTCAACGATAATACTCCCGCTTTTGCAGGCTGCAACTCGAGCTTGGTAGCGAAGTACCTTGGCTCTGGATTAATTGGTTGCTCAGGGATAAATATTAGAGAAATACTATACTATGTTTTCAAAATATCAAATGCTAGTAAAACCATGGAGATGAAAAGTGTTCTGTTTTCGAAACAGCTGCTGGAAAGAAACAACCAGACAGCCAGGTTTGTGCATGCATACACAGAAAAAGGAAATTTCTTACGAATGATTTAAAATAGGTATTTGAAACACATTTGTAATACATTAAAGTACCTTATCCTCTTAGGGCTGTTTTCATAATTTTATTTGTCCCTCAAAACCACATGTAGCTACTGCATGTGACTGTAGGTTTTGCCACTTGTATACTGAAGGACAACTCAAGGTACATGGAGCTCCATGAATTTCTACGTGTAATGTGAATACAGATACTCTCCCATTTCCCCTCCCCCGTATCTTTAATCTCACTTTATTCGCTGCATGTGTTTATGTACGCTGGGAGGAAACCTAAAAGACTGTTAGTTTTTTAAGGGCTAAGTATCACTTGCATCTGAGCTGGCACGTAATAGTGAACTGCAGAGATAATTCTCATTGAAGCAAATGATAAAATGAATTTACTATGAAAAAAAAAAAAAGCCATCTGTTTCCCTGGCATGTTATCTCCACAGGGAAGTCAACAGAGCATTTAATTTAGTGTTTCAGTTCCCTGACCAGAGGTACCAGTATTAATGAGAGAAAACAAGAACAAGAAAATGCAGGTAAAGAACTTAAGGACAAAATAGCTCTTCCCCTAAATTTAAAACATTTACAGCTAATACAAATACGTAGACAGTAGTTTAAAGTGAAGATTAAAACCCAAATTTCCCCTCCTGCACTTGACTCTAACATGATTTTTAAAAGTTCTCAATTTTCTCAATTGTTTAAATACTTTGGGCTCAAAATGCATACCTGAAAACCCACACTTTATCCACTTTTGCACATCTAGAGCGATTTCTGACAAAGTTCCCCATTTTCCTCTGCGTCACTCATAACCACCTTGATTTGAACTAGGCTAGGAACAGATCCTAGAACCCACCAAAAACACTTCTGAGAATGAATCCTCAGACCTAATTTTCATTCCTTTTCTTTTTTTGGCAGTTCTGCTACTTGGTCACTAGATACCTTAAACTGTGGTATGTATTCACATCATCTGTGTTTCTGTCAGGATGCTGGCCCTTGCAAACAATAGTCATGCCAACAAATGCCATACAAACTTTACCACCACATACCACAATGAACAACACAACACAAAAATAATATAAATTAAGACAGATACAAGACCACTTAAAGCACAAACTAAATTGTATTGCAGTACCTCATAAGCTATTCCTTCTCTTTATAAAAGCAGTATAAAACAAATATTTTTCATCTTAACTGTGAAGTTATTTTGCAAAAACCTGATTAAAACTGGAAGCACAAGTTTTTGTTCCTTTAAGGCTTCAAGAACTACAGATACCTGACACCTGGCAGCATGTACAGCAGCAACTCATCTTACTAGTCTCTGAAGGAGCTACACAAATGCACATTGTATGCATTTATGCAAGACTTTTTTTGAGAGTAGAGTTAAGCACATGCAATGCCTACTTAATGCTGTGCTGAAGTATTTAAGTAGCAAACATCAATTTAATATTTTCATATAAACAGTAACCGTAACCTGCTATATATAATTTACCAATCACTACAGACCTCTTTGAACTCTCAGGAACTTTTAATTACACATTTTTAAATGTAGTCCTGAAAAATTATTTGTTCAACTCTGCAAAAGCAGACTAGACTTCAAGAAGAACAGTTCACACTGTTCTTCTGCTGACCATGGTAGTGGAAGCAAAGGGAAAACCAGCTCTGTGGTCAGACAAGAGAATGAGTTAAAAAAGTCCTAAATCCCAAACACTTCAGGCAACAGATTTGAGGGAAGTGACTTAAAAGGGAGATCAAGGAGAATTTAGGCACTGATCATTAGCAATAAATAATGCAATGTCAGCCACAGCTTAGCAACACAAAAAGCGAAGCGGCAGTAAGGCAAATCTGAGCATGGGAATAAGTATGTATATACAATAAAATACTATCCAGCACATACAGCCTCTTCTCTTGGTCACTTCTGTCTCACCAGTCAGTCTCTTCCCTTCCTCTTTCATTGATGGGCATCTCTCCAAACCAACCGTGGACAAGATGCATTACCATCACTAGCACACAAAAGATCTTAGGAGGAGAAAGGCAACCCCTCTCTATGGAGCCAATCTGAAAAATCACAAATCAAAACAAATAGGCTTACCATGGCCAGACTCACAATAACTTTCACCTTCATCCACAATGATTCCCTCCTCACGTACTGCTTGAGCACAACACGCAAGTGCAACAGTACCTTTACGCTTTGACAAAAAGCTATGCAAAAATAAATGCTTATGTGCGTTTATCCCTGTGTGGAGGATGGAGGGGGAGGAATCATAACAACAGTTTTGTCATAAGTAAGTTATACGGCATCTGTAATGCTACGGAATGCAGAACTATCCATTTTACTTTACTCTAAATTATCATCTTGACAAAACTCACACATCGCAAACCGACAAGCCAAGTTAGCTTGGAGCCCCAGCTTCTAAAAGAAAAGTCCCTTTTTACAGCTGAACGTTCAAGCCTCTTCAGAACCACAGCACCTAAAAAGCCTACTCAGACAGTTCTGTTTCTATACCAGTTGTCAGCTCCACTTATAAACATAAGTATCTAGGCGCACAGTGGGAACACTGAGCAGAAGAAATCTTCTACTGCAACACAGCAGATCTCTTTATTATACAGAAATGTCTGCTTATTCAATCTGTCTCGCAATCCCTGCTTGAAAAGGACCAGTTTTCTCATCAGGGATGCCCTGGGGTCGATTACAATGTGGTATCTGAAAAATGGTCCCATCCCATCATTCAAAGGTGGCTTCTGGTCACGCTGTGAAGTCACATTATAAGGTAGAAGGCACAGAAATTCAGAAGATAAATAAACCAAATCCCTTTAGAGTGTTGGGAAAAAAAACAAACCTGTTGAGAGATTCATTCTGTTTTACCCTAAGACAAAATACCCTAAGAAATAGTGTTTTAACAGCAGCTAGTAAAAAAGGGATGCTCACTCAAATTCTTGTAGGATCCTGTAATACAATATCAGTAAGAGAGGAAACAAAAATGGGTTTGTTAAAATTAGAGCTAGTGTGTTTAAACAGTTTCTTATTCACAGTACAGCAAATATTTATTTTTTTAATTTAAAATCACAGCAAATTATTATAGCAACTTACTTTTGTTGCTATTTCACGATGCTTTTTTGAAGCCTCTTCCTTAGAAAAATTAAGATCTACTCTTGCTTCTAGAAACTCAAGTCCTCTCTCACTCATCCTACAAGGCCTGATCTGCATATTTACCCTCTTACAAACTGCTTTACTAGATCAAAATGCAGTAAACATTTTCAGATAAGTATTTCTAGTCCTTCAAAATCTTTAACACACAGATTTGGTAAAAAAAACAAAACAAAACAAAACAAACCCACACCTAAAATTTACCTCAAATTTGGTTCAGTACTTCCAGGGAATCCTTATCAAAAGGCAAGATGATGAGAGAGTTTTACAGTTAAAGATGTAGAAAGATGTGTTCCTTCCAACCAGAGCACATGTAACTGTAGAGAAGAGGACAGTCCAAAAATACCAATAGGAAGGAAAACCAAAGATGAATGGAAAAAAAAAAAAAAAAACAACAAAACCAAGACTCCTCCTACAGTCACTGCTGGAGTGACCCTGACTATTTTGGAAGAGGTCACATAGGAGGACACAGTTAGGAGAAATAACGCAGATAGACATACAGATCAGATTCAGCACTTCTGTGCAAGTGTAAATGAGGGAAGCAGTGTAGCGTCAGCATGCAAGATAACAGCTTCTATTTCCAGTGGCCTGTGCTGCTCCAAAAAATAAACCATCAACACCTCTGAAAACACTAAGGCTACATTAGGTTTCTGATTCAGCTTTAGCAATGACCAAAAGCAATTCTCTTGGCCACAGAAGTTATATCATCCACCCACAATAGGCACCATACTGCAAGCCTCTCAGATTATTTTGTGTCAACCTTTTAAGACATTTGACTCTCTCAGGAAGTCAAATGCAAAACTTACTGCTTAACATGAATCAGATCCTTTTGTACATTTTTGTTTGCTCTCCTACGCTCACATGCCAGAAGAATCAAGTGATAGAAATCTGAAAAGAAAAAAGACCCTATAAGATGCCATTTTTTACTACAGAGGGTTTAATACAAGGACGTTTAGAAGTACTTTAAAGTACTTTCTGCTTTTATTAGAAGGCCCTGACAGCTAAATATTTGCCAATAGATGGCACCAACACTAGTTAAATCAAGTGTAAAGAACCCTGTCCTTGCTGAGGGACAAGCCCTCCTCTACAACCCCTCTGGCCACCACCATTAAAAATGGATACTTTGGTATCACCAGATAAAATAGTAAAAGAAGTCATGCAACTGTAAGTTTATATGAGAAGTCATCAGTCTGAAATCTGGTCCTCAGGCTACTCATCATTTAATAATAAAGCACCTAATCTTTTTATAATCTAAATGTTTTCAGTTAGTTTTAGAGACTTAAAATTATGTCTCCTCAACCAACAGCAAAGGTAAGCAATCCCACTCAGGCATATTTATTGCTGGTCATGTACTGGCACATCACCTACTTTGCCTAGACAGTAGCTAAGCATGCACTGCTGCAGAGGATCGGCCACTCCTGCTGTGTTAAGCGCTCCTCACATTTGTTGCTGTACCTTTTTCTATTAGAAACCCTGCCTCAAGAAGCTCCCATGCTTCACACTGATGGAAGCTGAGCCTATATCCATGTACATATTATTCTACACTTGCTCTACTCTTACAGTCTGAGAGCAGATATCAGACTCGACAGACGGCTGTCCAGCCGAAGGTCAGTTGCTCTAGCTGACACCCAGGCACTAAAGAAGCAGTTACATTTTCAGGACCCAACTTTGCCACAGGAAGAAGGAAATAGACTATCTCTTGCCAGGCTGGAATTCGACAGACCGCTGTCCAGCCGAAGGTCAGTTGCTGACACCCAGGCACTAAAGAAGCAGTTACATTTTCAGGACCCAACTTTGCCACAGGAAGAAGGAAATAGACTATCTCTTGCCAGGCTGGAATCAACGCTAAGAGTTGCCCATGACACAAAAGGCAAGAGTTCATTTACTAGCAGGAACGGAGAGACTGTCACATACATCGAATGCCCGTGCTCACACACATTGTTACAGGTAAGCAGCAGGTACTGGGGGAACAGCTTAAAAAGACAGAATGAGATTGTGCAAACACATTTCTATTTTGCATGAAGCTTACATTTAGTTATTCACCATGAAAGCCAGATGTTGCAGGGGTAGCAGTATGCTGTGGCATCCAGAAAGGGAAACATCAAGACGTAAGTAATTTTGTGGTCTGCTCTACAAGAGTGCAACAATCTTGTACCAGCAGTGAGCTGTTCTGGGTTTTTTGTTGGCTTTGTTTTGTTTTAAGGAAGGCAGCACTGCTTTTTTCCTTAAACTTTTCTTCCTAAAATTCAGGAACATGTTAGATTCACTACCACATTAGGAAAGATGTCTCCACCTACTTCAGGAAAAACCAAGACACAAAAAAGCCTTCAGAACTAGATTTTAACCCTCTACAGTTTTGATAGCCCTCTTAAAGTTTCCTGTATTTAGACTGAGCCTGAAAATTTTTGGTAGGTGAAAACCTCAGCAGAATAACTGAAATAGATTAGAAATCTGCCTTAAATTTTTGTGAACTATAATAAGACTGTATTGTATGCCTCTGCTGGACATACTGTTCCACATGTGTCAAGCAAAAAACTGTCACCTTTTTATCCAGGTGCAATGTGAATAACCAATGGCTATTTCATAAATAAAAGGTTAAGCCACAATAGCCCCACTGGCTAATATAGCCAGCAGTGGTAATCGACTCTTAATTTATGTACAAGGTTGCCATAGGACTAAATTAATAATAAAAGTCAATACCTTAACACAAAACCTCAGTGCACCAGCTAGTGGAATTTCTGCTGGATTTTTTTTTAATACATGTAAAAGTCAAGAGCCCATAAAAATGCACAACCAACTTCACTACAGAGTAAGTGGAACTAGATCTACTTTGGCAGAATAAATAGCAATAATCTTTTAATATCTATTCTCCAGTACTAGGCATTTCTAGCTTCAGAAAAATATCTTCTGTTCAGGATTCAGAATAGTGGATAGTTAACTAGATAAACTCAGGTGAGACACAGGAGAGTGAGACAGCAATTAACTGTAGGAACCTAAACTGTATAAAAACATTCCCCAAATCAACTCTTGCCACAACAAAGAGCAATGGCAGCACAAATGGAAATACAGGCTTTAGCAAGATTGATTTTTCATAATGTACTCAGAGTTAACTTCCTTGTTCTCATTTTATTACTTTATGAAAGACTTTTCATTAAATTAACTTTCATCTGAGAAATATTAATATCTCTTTCTGTAATGTACACGTGAGCAAAAAACAGTGCCTACTTTTCCTTTTGCCTTGGTTTGACACAAGCAATTTATCCTACAGGAATGCATATCTAGTCCTGTTGGAGAATGTAAACAAAAGGTTTATTAGAGTTGACAAACTTATACTTTCAGAAACTTGATCACGGACCCCAAACTCTTCAGACTGCCCAAAGACTTCCCCCTCCCATGACACGTTTATTTTCTGTTTCAGCATTTTTCATTACGCTTGAATCACTTTTAAAAGCTTTCCTTTGCGATACAAGGAGCTAGAAAAGGACTTTTTTTTTTTAACCTGACAGATAGAGATTACATGAGAACCTAAAAGCAAGATCTTTTAGGTTTGTTTGTTTGCAAACAAACTATTTCACACTGTCCATTGCCTTTTCATTATGCTCTGATACACCTTAAGTGTATCTGTCCAAGAAAAAGTTTGGTCTGTAATTTTGCCATCACTATAATCTTCTGAAGGTATACTACAGTTGTGGCACATATTGAGAACCATAAAAGGCAGTATAGATACTAAATATAAGTACAAATGTAAAATGCACGTGCATTTTAAAAAGGCAGACATTGTCAAAACATTGCAGAGGGATTTAAGAGCACTCTGTATTGCAACACAACAACATAACACAACGAAAAGTCAGTCTGACTGACAATTATGCTTTATCATTCCTTCTTCTGTGTTTTGAAGGGAGAACAGACTGAGACTTTGAAGAATGGATTATATGAAAGAGAAAGAGGAAGCAAGAGTCTCAGCATACAAATTTGTAATGCCAAAAATCCTAGTTGCAGCAAGTTCTGAAAATAAATGCATCATAGATTTGACCTTTCTCATGATCCATCAGCTTAGATGAAGATGGTGTGGGGGATAATCACACCACTAGAGTTTCTGGAAGAATGAGACAAATGAAACAGAACTGAAATACTAAAGGCATAGCATTCCTAAAATCTGTCTAAAAATCCCACACACGCTGATTGCATATGTATGTTGGGAGTTCAAACAGCTTTTCAAAATGAAAACAACAGATGTGACTTAACAAAGTGGAATCTTACCTTTCTGCCTCTTCACTTGGGGAATATTGCTGATTGTGGTTGCCTGAACTATTTCCACTACAATCTGGTACCTAGTTTTAAAAACAGTAGGGGATAACGGTGAAGAGGGAGGAGAGAAAAAAAGAAGTTATTAATTTTTTACAATGTGTCCTTCATACACACTTAAGAACTAATAAAAACTAAAACACTTCCACCTCCTCCTCACCCAGAAACAGTCATTTCTCAATATGTCTGCAACCTAAGAAGCAGTGTGCATATGAAGTAGAAAAAAAAAGGTTATATTGAAACAAAAGGAAAACATCAAAGTAACAATAATACTGCCTCCTTCTCTCAACTACTGGCACCGCACAGCCAGTTAATAATGGTGAACACAATGTAAAGTCATGATCTTAACATTAAATATAAGTTTTCTGTATGAAACGAGGATGGCAGTTCAGTTCAAAAGCAAAGACCTTTCTGTTACATTTTTCTAGCTAATGCACTCAATATATACATGGAGCATATATAACTTTGGAGAAGAAAAAAAAAAAGCATTACCCTAAAATAAGTAAAACACTGAAGTACTACACTCCAGGAATAATTAAAACCTGTTTATCACCTAAAACTATGCTACATATAACGGAAGATAGCTAATACAGTTAGTAAACTGAATTTTAAGTACAACTAACCGTGTAACTAACAGACACCATGAATTCAGCAAAGAAAACGACTGTCAGTTAAATCTTTCATAAATGTCAAAGTTCTGGTCATAACAAACATTCAAACTCCTCTCAGTGCACTTACTTTGGCAGCTATCAATACAGGTAATGAACTAAGTATCCCAGTAAATTTAACTCATTCCTGCAGGGGTTCCCTAACCTCATCTATCAAGTTAACTCCTAGTTGAAGGCTGAAGCTTCCTGGAAAGTCTGCTGTTTCGATGGCTAGTTATTCTTTGTTTAAGAAAGAGTCTAGGATCGTTAAAATACATCCCCTTCTTCCATGTATACTTCTTTCACCAACATTGTTCAATTCCCCCCATTCCTCTTGCCTCCTATAACTCTTTTAGGATTTTGATGGCCTCTGCCTCTTTGTATAGACATACAGACAGCACACGTTCACTTACACTTCCAGAGTGTGGTTTTTTTCTGCAGTTACCTTTATTCTACCCAACTCCTTCAATTACTGAGTTGAAGCCTGAGAACCTGCTCACACAGCTTTAATTTTTCTAACACTATTCCTTTTGCCATGACTGTATCTTGGTTGTTTCCATCCACCACCGCAGTTCTTGCCGAGTCCTTCAGAGGAAGAACAGCCCCATAAGTGAGGGTAATATTCTGAATATGCAGAAATCCCACAGCTAATTCCCTGCTCAGACACAGACATCCCAAATGATTCTGGGCAGCTCACTTGGACTTTTGGTGCCTTGGTTACGTCATCTGTAAATGAGTTATAAACAACACTCATTCACCTCACTCAGGTGTTGTGTGAACGTTACAAATTTATCAAACAAGGTACAGACAACAAAGTAAATACTTCACATGGAAGGTAGTTTTCACTTTTACCTTGCAACTTTTTTCCTTCCAATTTTACTCGCATTCATTCATATTCATGGTTTTCCTGTTTTCATTATCAAAACCATAATACAGCATCTCTATTCTGTTCCTCATTATATTACCTTAATTAAGGGAAATGCTTCGAGTTAGATGCTAAAAGATACTGTTTAGTCTGTTCCCCCTAAGCACAGGGCTCTGGCTGTAACTAATCAATGAGAGTACTGTACAACACTGCACCACAGAAACACCACGACCCTTTCTCCCTGAAAGTCTGTTCCAAATATTCTAGCTGCTACATATTCTGTGCTGCTGGTGAGTAAACATCTGAGGAAGTTTTAAATGTGATGTATTAATTTTATTTTCAAGAAGTGAACTGATAAACTCGGCCAATCATGGGCTCACATCCACATTACTTCTAGCTTCCCACTCTTATCTCTTCCCCGTTCTTTGTTATATTCATCCCTTTTCCTCATTTCTTAAGTAAAAGATGACACAGAGCCAGCAATAATGTTCTTTCCTAGTAACAGAACATATACAATGCTGATCTTGAAAGCAGAATTAAAACTATCCACCATTTTTTTTTTACTTATCACTATTTATTCTCAGCTATGTTTTTAGCTCATCATGTGTTTTATCTCTAGTCTTCTGACAGAACAACGAAATTGCTTCACATTTGATGTGAGAGAATTCATCTTTCTTCCTTATCTGAAGCACACTTACAATTTATCCATGTTAACTTAAATCTGAGGGGAAATGAAGGTGAAATGCCACTGTATAACTTTTTCTTCTTGAAATAAATAGGGACAATACATTTTGTGGAAACTTGATAAAACAGGAATAAAACTCTGCCTCCCTTCATGATAAGCAACAACAAAGGTAAACATTATAAGGAGTGACTGAGAACGATGTTCATAGATCACCATATAACGGTCCCTTCTCCAGAAGATTTGTTGGCTTGGGTTTTTTCCCCGCCCCCAAACAAATCCAAATTTTCAGAAAGCAGAGGTATGAAAGGAACAACAACAACAAAAAAACCCCAAACCAAAACATCTCCTTGGAAATCAGCAAATGACTTTTTATGAAAACAAACATCGGCTCTCCAGACGTCCCTTATAAAAATGAAACAGATGTTTCCACAAAGCAATAGAGAGAAGTTCCGCTAAGAGACAGGGTGACCAAATGTTAGAGGCCCACTATAGATATTAAAGAACCATGAATTCAAAAGTATCTCTAAAAATTAATAAGTAGTTCCTGCATCACTTAAAATCCATAAAAGCAATGCAGAAAATCCATACAATATTTCTTCTTACAGTAACACTTCTAAGCAAGGGGAGAGAAAAGATTAAGGAAATCATGGTACCATAGTAGCCTTTCAGGGAGAGCTATTTGTAAGGCAGAGGCACGGTACACTTGCTTCCACGGAGATCCAACACATACAGCCTCCCGCTCTTTTCTGATTTCCTGGCCAAGAACAACAACACCCTTCACCCACAGGTTGCCACTGATCCAGCCAGGGATCTTTGCCCTACCCACCCCATAACAAATACCTGGTTCTAACCACAAGAAAGCCTAGCAAAACTGTTAATGAAATCTGTCTGGAAGGGTGCCTTATGGGACTTCTCTCCTATAATGTCATGTGCATACACCAAGGAGCACCCAGGAGTCCAAGCTTTCTTGACTACAGTCTGTCAAGAGGGGGAATTGTTTATCAGTGCCTCATGGCCTCTTTCATTGAGAAACACATCTTATGTTTATTGTAGTAAATAGGCAGTAATTAATCTCAAAGATTAAGCATGGCAGGGATGTTTAAAAAAAAAAGTTTCCCAGCAACTGCAGTGCCTTGGGATAAATTTCCCTCAAAGCTAAGCCTACACAGAAAATTGTTCTTACTTATATCTGTTCTTTACCAAGATGTTACGTGGCAACAATAGGAGCAATAGGAGGAGGCTTACAGTTCGTGAATGCCATGCACTTGCTTAGAACAGGCACAGAATTTTTTTTTTCCAAATAAAATCAAGGAAAGGCATTTTTGATAAACAGAATATTATTACCCAGAAGAATATCTAACTGGGAAACATGTTTAAGTACAACATGCTAGTAATTTATTTGTTGTAGGAAGAGAATGGGAAGCATTCTCCCCACTCCTGTCACTCTGACAGACTCTAACTGTGTTCCTCAGTGGTAACTGCACAATGGCTTGTTTCCTCTTTAATTCCTCCTTTATAGATTTTCCTGTATTTCGCTATTGTGATTTACAACCTGAAATATAATTTAATTTGTTCATCTAAAATACCACTTTTTTTTCCCCATTCACATAGGGACCACTGTTTGATTTCCTTGACATAAATCTGTAAACTTTCACTAGTAAATGATGAAAGCTTTGCAAAACATACTGCATAACTTTGAGATTACTACAGGTTGGCCCATCTCTCTCTAGGTGCTCCTACAGTGCTGAAGAACAAACAGAAGAGGAATCCTGCTTCCCACAGGGGAACGCTTTTTAACCACCTTCCCAGAGACTGGCCCTATACAAACAGAGGAAGGATGAACACTGCCTCCAAAATCAAATACTATTTCTCTTTGAGAGGAAGACACATTTTCTCAGACTTTTTCCATTCAACTACTGATCAGCTCAGACTGATCAGCATTATGAGGGGTGTAAAAACATCTCAAGGCAATGGTATCTGGACTCCACAGGCTAGAAAGGAAAAACCTAAGTTCAGCCAAAACCACATTATTTCATAAAGCAAGTCTGCTATCTGATACTAGAGAACACAATTTAAAGTGATCTGCTAAAAAGAGACCACATTGAGCATTAATGTGCCTGAACAACAACAACAGAAGAGTTAGGTTTCTTTTGATACAAGTAGATCCATTAGTGTGATTATGCTAATAAATATGATGTCAATTAGGTTTTAGACAGAGTCTAATAGAGACTAATTTCTGCTCTCAGGAAAGACACACTGGCACAGAGTAAAGAACAAATTTTACAGCAGATGAACAATAAGTAGCCAAGCAACAAAACCATTTCACCATCACCTAAAAGCATCTTCCTATCTCAGAAATGCAAGTGGCTTCAGAATCAAAGAGAATAACAACAGAAAAATGTTATTTATGCAGCCCACGTACTCCATCACTGTAAACCATCACTTGGCCTGATCAAGCCAGGTCTAACAGAAGGTCTGGGTCACAGCAGATGACAAAAGTGCACCAAATGGGATCAATGTGCTTGTGTCTTTCAGATGTTGCTGCAGCCATTTAGGAAGAGAAAAAGCTGACCTGCAGCAGCAATTGAAGGGAGTCAGGGAAGGGGAAAAAATACCAGGTCTGGTTGGTTGCAACAGATTAGGACAAACACTCTGGAGATGGCTTAAAGAGTCCTCCAAAGCTTCGGAGTGCTCAATAAAACCAACTCAAGGACATCTAGGGAGATCCTACAAGAGTAGTATCTCTGCTCCTTGCTTCCCAATCACTTGGTCCTTATCCTTTCACTTACATCAGAAATCAGAGGAGAAATAGTTCAGCTATAAAGATAAGGCAAGCATAAACATCTTGTACTTGGGCAAGCAGACTTGAGATGCACACACTATCTCATGTTATGATGAAAAATGGAAGGAAAAGGATGATTTTTGTGAGGGGGGAATTAGTATGAAAGTGAACAGGTGCTACTTGCATTAGAAAACAGGAACATCAAACAAACTCATGGTATGTAGGAGCTCAGTGGGTTTTTTTGGTCTTTAAGGAATTCTTCAGAGTTCATTAACATATTTAAGAAGGATGCAACTGGGAAAGACCTCCCCGCAACAGTCCAGGAAAACCTCGGATCCAGTGGTAAAATGCGCTGGAACTCAAACCCCTCTTTCCAAGTCACAGAATCACAGCAAGCTGTTCTGCACGCCCAGTGTCCATAAGGTCACTATGGTTCTCAGTCACCAGACCACCACAGCCAGCCGTACTTCATAAAGATAATAAGGACATAACTACACATTAGTGTAAATTCAACATATTTCATCTAACTCCACAGAGGCAAGCTGTAAAGAAGGGTCTGGTATGCCTTTCAACAGTACAGTCATTTCCAGTATACTACTAAGTGGAATTTTTTAACATTTTCTGCCACTGAACTAAAAAGCTGACTATATTAGAGATTTAACAAATGTTGTGGCTTATCATCCTTACTGCCTCTGCTTCACCAAAAGAAAAAGAAAACTAAAATTGAATTTAAAACAAAAAAAAAATCACAATTCATTCAAATCTCAGTAATGGGCTGGCAAAAGAAGCATGTTTAGTTTTGAATGAGCTACAGTGAAACATTAAATACCTCAGTTGTTTCAGGAACTCAATGTCAGAGCTGCTGTTAATGAGCTTGATGAACTCCTCATAAGAAGGAGCATATGTATAGTCTTTCTTCTGATGCTCATTCATCTGTTCTCTGTACTCCAGCTGGCTGAGTAGCATTCGGTTAATGTAATCTGGATCACTCAGCAGTTCCACCACTGGTTTCAATACTGAAAAATATTTTAAAACAAAATCCTTATGCTGAAGAACAACTGCTGTCCTGCAAAAGAAAATTGCAGATAAAAGCGAAAAACAAATATGCAAGTTGATAAAAATACAAAACCAGTGTTCTGGACTACATAGTACACTTGAGGTTGCATGTACCTTCTTGACAAAACTGTTAGTATTCTATTACACAAATTGATGTACGCTGACAAAGCTAAGCTCTATTTGGAAAATTCCAAGTGTTTTTGTTCTTTCTGCTATGTGCCTTGAAGGCTGTGACATTACAGCCACTATAAATGAAAATTAAAAGTAAACTGAACCGCATAATATACTTGAGACTTCATAGTTTCTGAATCTGCCTTCAGTGACACAAAAAATGACTAGTGTATTTATAATCAGGTTAAAGTGTAGTTGGTAAAATAAAAAGCAAAAAAGAAACCCCTCTATTAAAAAAAACCACACTGCATAAATCAAAGTCTAAAAAAAAAAAATAAATCTGGTATCATGACTCAGTTATAATCACATCCTTAAGTCTGTGGACTCTATGTATCTGACTAAAATATAAAAGGCCACAACTATTCATATAATCACTAAAAATGCAAAAGTGTTCCTCTGTGAGAAACAATAGAAGAATGGAATGGACCAATTGTGTTTTATCATGAAAGGTGCTAAACAGCCTGGCATGAAGTCTGGAGAGTCAAGTATATGCTTGATTTTGAGACTATAAAGTGTCTTACTGGTTATCACAAATTAAATTTCAGAACTTAAAAGCAGAGCATCACGACTTCTAAATAATGAAGGCTATAATTACTAACATTGTACAGGTGCAAATGGTTAATCATCTCTGATCTTTGATCTACCTTTTGTTGCAAGTATTTCTGCAAGGACTATGCGCAAGCTGACAGACTGGACATCCTTTGAGGGTAGGAGACAATACACCAGAATTTGAGAACATTTTTGCAGGAATCTTACTTCTTCATCAGAGCTCCTCAAGCATGGGTGCAACAAAAAAGGTCTCGCTGGATCTTCCTGCCTGGGGAGTGGGAAAGGGGAGGAAGAAAGGGAAAAAAGAGTGAGAACTTACATACCACTTGCATCGCAATTAGTTGCTAATTGATAAAATATCCAAAATTCATTATCAGATAAATAACTTCAGTAAAGAAACATTTAAAACCATATATATTTTTCAAATCCTGCTAATTTTTCTTAATGATGCTAAGACACATTTCCAAACTCCTTTGTCCTATCAATGTTTTCACCTGCTGAAATAGAAATACAGTATTTTAAAACTGCATCAAATAGAGAGAGCCCAGCAAGTGAGAGGTAAAAGTTTCTCTGAATAAACTTGTTCCATCATTGAACTTACAGGGAAGTCTCGTCCAGTTTTTCTGAACAATTGATGAGAAAAACTCAAGAAACAAATGCATTCTTGTAGGGCAAACTAGTTATAGACCTGAACCTTTAAGCAGAGGATTTGAGATCATATCTAGTTTAAGAAACAGGTCTACCTGTTAGATACTGAAGTTACCATCCTTCCTTTGTTACTGGCAAATAAATCTCCCAGTGAATAACTGGCCTGTTTGACCTGACTTTTCCTAGAACAGCAGTTTTTAACTTGCCACCTGCAGGCTACATCAAATTGGTCTGTGCAAGATACCCATAAAAGTAACAGACTTGGCATTATCAGCCATCTACACTGTAAGTGAAAACCAATTTAGAAAAAGATTTTTAAAAACCACCCACAGATTTAGAAAGAGGGTAGAATTGTGCTGGCAAACAGACAAAGCTGAATTGACTCCCAAAGCGCAGAGAAACTTGGCCAGACAAGTCCCCTCAGTAGTTCGGCAAATGAGAACCAACCCTATTGTTACCAGTATCAGTGGGGTATATAAAGCATGAAGCTGGAAAGCATGAAACTGTAGGGGCTCAGCATGTGTGGGCAACACCCCTGTGCACAGCACACTTACCCCAGAGGTGGTGAGAGACCCTGGACTTTAGGCTCTGCTCAGTCTTACAGGTCTGAACCTGCAACTTCCAAGTCACCTCTCAGCCAAATCAGAGATTTGGTGAGTCACCTCTTGGCCAAATCAAGCAGCAACACTTGCTTGGATCTGAGCATCTCAGGCATGCAGAGATCACAGAGCCATTCAGAGAAGAAACAAGAGAACTTGCCTCAAGCCGAGTCCTCTGATCAGTAGGCTGAAGCTAGAATATGCTCATCTTTTATACTAATAAACCACCACAGGAAAAAAAAATAACTAGGGAACAAAGTCATAGTTTTCCTTCATCACTGAAAATGCTTCAGACTCAGGGTTCATCTTGCCTGCCTTTGGTGGATCCAGATCCTTGCTTCTGGCTAATTCTGGTTCAGCTTCAAGAAGGAGCAGGAGAATACTCTCAGCCTGCTGGGGAAGGCATTCACTATCATCCACTCACTAACTGCAAGGGTTACGCAACCTGGACACTAACGGATGGAGGAAATCCAAATCTTGCTGGTTTTACAGTGAAGGAATTAGGCTCATAACTTAAAGAAAGTACATCAGGCCTGGAGTTAGGACAGGCATAGCGTGCTATGCCATACAGTAATATATCATACTAATATGCTTCTTTTCCTGCTACCAAACAGGCAAATAGGTCCTCCCTGCTCCTGGCAACCATGGTAGGTACATTTTGGGAAGATGGCATGATGGGAGTCTTTCAGAGCTAAGAGTGATGGAGAGGTTGTGCCTCTGCTGCAGCATGTGGCACCGGGTGGGTGCTGTGCAGCACTGAACATGCACAGCAACGTGCTGCTGGATGAGCAAGTCCATGACAGAACAGTCTGTGTTGTTTACAGACTCCCCACAAACTGCTCTTCTGATTACAGCTCTGAAAGAAACAGGGAGCAAACCTCCCCTGCCTTGATTTTGTGCCCAATACTGACCAGTTCATCTCCTCGCAAGTGCCATTGGTTTTCTGGACTTCTCATAATATGTTTGACTGGATGTACCAAGGGAAATCTTTAGTGCAGATCACAGCAACACCTTTTCTTTATACAAAAATAGCTGTAGAAGTAGAGACAAGGTGCACTAACAGTTCTTTCATGGCCATGTGCCTGATGTACTCCAAACACAGATTTACAGTTTAACAGCAAAGTGACCATGCCAGTGGTTACAATGAGATAGATGCAGTGTCAACTGAGAGGCATCACAGTAATTGCCAAAGGCAGCCAGAACTGGTCTTCAGTAGAAGGCTCTGAGATGTCACAAAGGCTCAGATCTGTCATGTCTCATACCAGTGCCTTGTCCCATTGTCTGGAATGTCTGCTTCCTTCCCAGAGCTAGAGGCTGCTGTCCTGACTAGAGTCAACCGACCATTACTCACAGAGCTGCTCCAAGCTATGAGCCTCCGTATGTGAAAAAAGTGATCAAGAACTGTACACAGTCAAACCAAAAGTTTGTCAGAAGCAGCATTATATATCAATTTAATTTTGCAATTCGGTCCAGGAGGGAGCAAATATGTTGGAATAGTAACAATACTCTAATAATAGCCCTAACTCTGTTCTAATAATACAAGTCATTTGTCTCAAGGTGACAAAATTAGTATTTTTTAATTAATTTCCAGAACAGGAATGTAAAGATGACATTTGATTTCAACTTGACTGGAGCCTCTTACTCAATCTCAAATCAAATGTTTTGTTTTCAAATGTGTACCATGCAGGGGGTTTCAACTGTTACAAGTAAGAGAACTTGGAAAACAAGTTCCTTGGAACAGCTTGGATGTAAATACTCTGTTCTTCTGAGGAGCAGTGGTTTATGAAGATAATGTGTAGTCTTCATTATCAAGCAGCACAGGTGGTGCAGCTGACTAAGCTCAGAAGGCTGTTATCTTGTTGTTAGGATCTTTTCCTCTCAAGCAGCCGAATACCTAGCTATTTTCCTCAGTGCATTTCCTTTCCTCTTGCATACTCCAGACACACCCTACAGCCTTCTCTACACCGCATCAAACATCCCCCATCACATCCTCTCCCTAAAGACATTCATTATTTATCCAAAACCAGATACGTCCCAGGCAGACTACTGGCAGACAGAAAGTCTGGGTCATTTATGTACAGCCACCTCTTACTGGGGAACTAAAGTCTTCCTCTTCCAGACAGGTTGGTCCACCCGAAGTCAACCACTTAGAAACACAGCCAGAAGCACACATAAAATGCTGACACACAGAATAACTTACTCTGAACATCAGTTGGCTAGCAGCAGACTAACCTCTCCTAATGACTGATTCCTGTCTATTAACAACGATACACAGTTAGAACTAAAAGCAAGTGGCGATTGCTTTTCTTCCTGTTCACAGACAAACCCCATCCTTTTTGGGCACTCTTACCTTATTCGTGAGACATCCTGCATAGTGATTAGATCAAGCTATACTTTAATAATGTGCAAAGCACAAAACAGAGCCATAGAGCATATAAACTTTCACTAAACTGAGACTACTCTTCCTTGCCTTCAGTATCTCTCTACAAGTCTCCTGAGGAATGCCAGTCTGTTTGGGACTGCAAACACCCTGGAGCATTAACTGCACCTATACTATCATCCATGCAAGAGAAATAATTTCTCATAGTCTTTGTCTCCCTATTGTGCAAATTTATTCCCAGACAACAGACAATATATACAGCTTGGCTGAGCTGGACCTATGCCAGGACTTTCTGATACACAGTCAACAGAACACAAACGGAAAACAGAACAGAATAAACAAATAGGCAAATATTTGATTCTTACCCTTCTCATTCACCTAATATGCTCCTGCCTACAGGAACACAAGGCCGGAGCAGAGTTGCATACTCTCCAGTTGACAGGACAGTTAAGAAGAGTTTCAGTTTTTTTCTGGAGT